TGATGATGCTGATGCTGCTGATGATGATGATGATGATGATGATGATGATGATGAGGATGATGATGATGATGATACTGCTGCTGCTGCTGCTGCTGATGATGATGATGATGATGATGATGATGATGATGATGATGATGATGATCATGAGGATGAATCTGATGACGCTGATGCCGAGGACGTTTCTGATGACGACGGCGATTTTGACGGCGAGGACGCTGACGAAGGCTGATGATGAGGAGGAGGAGGTGGAGGAGGAGGGGGAGGAGCAGGAGGCATAGCAGGACGTCGGTATGACTCCGTGAACGCCAGAGAGGAGACAAAAGTGGCAGATAACAGTTCAGAGAGCACAGCGCAGCAGTGAGCGGCGCAGATTAGCAGGTGGCTGCAGGGAGCAGCGGAGCACAACGCTCATTGTTCACTCAGTTGCACTCAGGCTCGCACTCTCTCGCTCTCAGACGCTGACAGAGTGCAAAAACAGAACATGAGATGCAAATTTGGGGATCTCCTCGTCGATTCGTATTTCTTATTCCAAGGAGGCCTGCGAATATGGCGGCTCCAAAATGTACTGCCGAAAGACGTGCCACACCTGCGTAGTGAGTGCCGACAACTGCGCGGACAGCTTCTGCATCGGAGAGTTCATGCGCTCCACGGGACGCTGTGAGCAGTGCTCGGATTACCCGAGGCACTGCAAGCTCGAGTGGTTCCGGAGGGACTGCCCCATGACGTGCGGGCAATGTGTGCCCAGCCAGGAGGCGCTGGAAGCCACCGCCCGCAGCTCTGCGAGCTCCGCGGAGCTCAACGACGGAGCCGTCGCGTCGGTGGAGGAGTCGGAGTGCAGAGACGACGAGTGCGTGGAGGAGTGGAAGGTTCGGGGGGTTGCCAGAGACTCTGCCCGGCCGCAAGGTGTCCCCAGCCTGCCGCGACATCTTAGAGGCCCTGGGCCCCCTCCGGGCCCCGTGGAGGGGTGCCCCGGAGGCCGCGGGGGCCTCCCTAGGCATCCAGGGGGCGCCTTCGGCCAGGAACCCGGGAAGACCTCTGGGCAGCACCGGGAAGGCCGGCGAGTATTGCCCCACGTGCAGGGACCTCGGCGAGAGCATGTGCTTCGACGCCACGTTCAGCCGCAGGTGCAAGAAGACGTGCAACCTGTGCGTGGAGGGCGGCGTGCCCAAGGATCAGGGGCAGCGGTAGGGGCTGATACGTAGGCTCTAGGCGATGCTTAAGAAAACCCAAGTTTTCGGCCAGAGTCTCGATTATGCTTAATGTTTCAGTGTAAATCCTAAGATTTGAATGGACATTCTGGGTTTTTAATCAAATTCTGAGACTCTGAATTTCTTAACCCATGATTTCTAAAGCATTTCGCAGGGCGTAGGCTCCGGGCGGGTGCATCGACCACCTTTCGCCCACGGATCGCCGAGAGGGGCCTGACAGCCCACCCCGCCCAGGAGCATGGGGATTCGCTGTCGAGAGCCAGTCGCCGATCGATCGGCGGTGCAGCGCCGATTCCCTGGCGATGCGTCCCCCCTGAACCAGTCCCCCGTTTTGGGGCCGGCCTGGGGTCTCTTGGGCCGTCTTGGGACCCTCTGGGGGCCTCTTGGGGCCGTCATGGTCCTACCGTCCTGAGCCCGTCTTGGGCCGTCTTGGGGACCACTTGGATCTTGTGGGCCGTCTTGCGCCCCTTTGGGGGCCCTCTCGGGCCGCTTTTGCGCCTCCCGGAGAGCCCTCCGGGTGGGGCCACCCGAGGGGCCCTTTGAGAGCTGTCTCGGGCTCCAGCTTGGGCCCCTCCGCGCTGGCCCCTCCGAGGAGTGCGCGGACGTCTTCTCCACGTACACGTGCCGCCGCTACCGCAAGTACGGGTGGTGCGAGCGCGAGGACGTGGCGGAGCAGGTGCGGGCCCAGTGCCCGCTCTCCTGCGGCGTCTGCGGCCCGGAGGAGCCCGCCGCGCCCACACGCGCGCGAAGGGGCCGGGGTTTCTCTCCTCCTCCTCCTCCTCCCCCTCCTCCTCCTCCTCCTCCTCCTCCGCCTCCTCCTCCTCCTCCTCCTCCTCCTCCTCCTCTCCTCCTCCTCCTCTCCTCCTCCCCCTCCTCCTCCTCCTCCTCCTCCTCCTCCTCCTCCTCCTCCTCCTCCCTCCTCCTCCTCCTCCTCCTCCTCCTCCTCCTCCTCCCGTCCTCCTCCTCCCCCCGCTCCTCCTCCCTCCTCCTCCTCCCCCTCCTCCTCCTTCCTCCTCCTCCTCCTTCCTCCTCCTCCTCCTCCTCCTCCTCCTGCCCCTCCCCCTCCCGGGGAGGGGGGGCAGGCTCATCCTCGGGTGTGCTCCTCCAGCAGAGGCGCCTCGCCGAGAGCGTGCCTGGGGGGTCCAGGTCGTCCCGAGCGGCCCCCTGGGGGAGCCGAGTTATTAGGAACCGAAAGCCAGACGTGCTCGCGTCGTGACAGGATGTCAGGCGATCGCAAACACGGAGGAGGAGGAGAGAGGAGGAGGAGGAGGAGAGGAGGAGGAGGAGAGGAG